TGCTAAAACTGGCCCCTCTGTTCTTGCCGAATATTCTTTTAGAGCTCTAACAACTTCCATTGAAAAACCGGGCTCTGCATCTACACTACTGTACCAGCGACGTAATGTTCTAGGGTTAGGCAGTGCTGTGTTAAAGGTTTTTCTAATAAAGTTGTATGGTTTAGGTGATAGGAAATGCAAGGTTATCGAAAAAGACCTTAGTCGGTCTTCAAAGACTTGGTTATATCTAGTACTTTTAGATTTCTGTATTGACCTTTTTAACAGGCATTCAGATGTCTTCGAAATTGACTGGAGCATTGAGCAGTCCTCCTCTGACATGATCAACTTTTCTCTAAGCTCTTTTAAAATGTTTTCTAAGTTTGCTAACTTTTTGAGGAGCCTCCAATTTTTCTGTTGCAAAGTTTTAATTTTTCTTTTTGATTTTAAAAGCTTGATTTTTGTTGTTTAATGCTTTGCGGAGAACCTTCCTCGGTGACTCTGTTACGTACTTCAGGAGACGGGTCAGTTACACTTGTTGTTGTGGAATTAAATGCAATGTCTAATTTCCCTTTAATTGGTCGTCTCTCTTTCAAATCCTTACCCGGTGTCGTGGCCTTGTGTATGCACGCGTATTTTGTTGACTTTGATAATTGAAAAAAGGTTGATTCATTTGAAAAGATTTATTTTACAATACATAATTGGTTTGATAAAAAATGTGTAATGTTGTTGTTGACTTATTTAACACTGTAATTATTAATAATAACATATGATAGATATTTACTTATTGCCAACATAGAACATTGAATAATTATTAAACATGTGGTTGATAAACTATAATTCTCCCACGCTTATTAGAAAAGATAATTTGTTTTGAAACTGGCAATATTGAAGAATAAAATTAAGACGTATCAAAGTCTTTCAAATATTCAGGCTGGCGACATATTCTGTTGGATCTGTGCAGCACTGGTGGACTTTCATTTCCTCTCTCATGTTGAGGTTGTTCATTGATTCGTGGTGGTGGTTGTTCAGCAGGGATGGTGATGAGGTCTTCAAATGGATGATGTTGTCTTGGTTCTTCTGAAGTGGCTTCTTGCACTGTGGGAGCAAATTTGACAGACTTTTTTGATATTTCCGTTTGTCGTAGTAGGTTGATGTGTCTCTTGAATACATAACCACTGTCGAGTCTAATTAGGTCCCGGTAGTGTAAGAGTCCGTACTTATTAATAATGGTTTCCACAGATTTTTGTTGTTTGAGCAGTACCATGCTTGGACTCGGTCTCCAACTTTGTACTGTCTTGTTTTGGTGTGTATGGTGTATGGTGAGGAAATTGATTGATTGTCTATTTCAGATAGCTTGATTTGTAGATTGCGAATCCACTGACGTCCTAAGATAGGTGGGTAGTTGTCAGGTACAATGTAGATTTCACCTTTGGATATGTTAGATTTGTATTTTATATTGATCTCTACTTTTCCATAGGGTTTGAATACATCTTTGGTGTAAGATCTAAAAAGTAAGTTAGTTGACTGGAGTGTTAGATTGAGATCTAATTGATTAAATTTGTCTCGGGGAAGTAAAGTATAGCCTGAATCGGAGTCCACTTCAAATTTTACTGGTTTGTTTTCAATATTAACAAATGTAAGAAACCATGGTGAGGCTTCGGTTTGAAATATGTCTACTATGTTTATTTCATACTAGTGGTCACTTTTGTTGTTTATCTGGTTAGTTGAGTGTGTATTTTTCTTGGACCTATTGTTCATAAGTGTGCTGATGCAAACTTTACCTACATGTCCTAGTCTTGAGCATTCAGAACATTTTAGTTTGCTTTTGTCCGTTCGACATTCTTTAGATAAATGATTGGATTTGCCGCATCGCAAACATAACCCGTTGATTCCCAATTCATCAAAGTTGATTTGAGACTTTGGAGTGTGTTTGGGTTTCCATTTGGACCTGCTGGAAACGTTGTGTTGACAAGGGGAATGGTCATGCTGTCTAGATGTAAGAGAAATCTTATTAATATCTGGTAGGTAGGTCTGATGTCGATGTAGGAAGATGTTTAAGGGAAATTAGTTTAGAGTAAAGTCTGGAAGCTTCTAAAGTCATTGCCTTCGATACGATTTCCTTGAACTCTGTAATATCAGATTGTAAAAGATGTTCCCAAATAGAGTTGTCCTTGATGCCGCGAATGAACTGGGTGCGAAGGAAGATATTTGCTATTAGCCCAGTCAATGAATGCAATAAAACACCCTTTTTCGTAACTAAATGGTGGAAAGCTGGATTTTTTATATGTGATAGAACCACATGAGAGGCGTATTTTCCCAAAAGTCCCCACTTCTACCCCTTGAGCTTTCCCCCCCACCCCCCTCCAAACATAGAAATTGCAGTGTTTTACTTAATTGGTCATAATTCGAATGCTATGTAAGCTATCGAGCTGCAATTTGTTTTGTTTTATTTCTAATTAATTTTCCTACAACTTTTGTATTTACAACATTTCTCTAAAACCAATACTTAGGGAGATATAAAATTTAAACTTTGTTAAAAGCTTTGTTTCAGAGTGCAAAATTTTGTTTTTCTCTATATATACTTTTAAATAGAAATAATACGCAAATATGGTTCATACAAAAGTTTTAGTACGTTTTGCAAGGTTTACAAATATATTATTGGTTAGTCCTCTAGGTGACCGGGTGAAGAGCTGGGCGTCGGCAAAGAGAGCGCGTGCGGGCTAGTTGAACACCTCTGCGCTGCGTCATCGCATCTAGCCCAGCCAATAAACGCACAAACTGCCTTTTTTCGTAGCTAAATAGTGGAAAGCTGAGTTTGTTATCTGTGATGAAACCACTTAAGACGTGTATTTTCAAAAAGTTTACGATTCTCCACCTTGAGCTTTTTCCCCAACCCCCTCCAAACCTGGAAATTACAGTCGTTCACTTTACTGGATATAATTCAAATTCTACAGATGCCATCGTAGTGAAATTTGATTTGTATTATTATTATTATTATTATTATTATTATTATAAGTTTATCTTCAATTTTTGTACTAAATGGTTTCTTATAAAACTATATCCAAAGAGATATAGCGATTTAACTTTTTTGATCATGTTTATGTTTTAGAGTACACAATTTTGTTTTACCCTCTTTATATTTTTTCCAAATAAAATGTGCAAGATGTTTCAAACAAAATTTTGTGTATGTTTCTTACGGTTTATAAATATATATTTGGTTAGTCGTCTGAACGAACTGATGTATATACACTATATAGTGTGGTGCGTCGCAAGAGAGCGCGCGCAGGCTTCTTCAAAGCATCTGCGCAGCCCAGCCCCACCCGTCGATGCGTCGCGTCGTAGGCACCGACATTGCCAAGTTCTCAAAGGTTGTATACAAATGCTAAAGCGTTGTACTTTGTACTTTACTACCAAAACAATCTGTATCCAAGCTTGACCGTGAACTGCAAAAACAATTGTTATTTAGATGGAACCCAATAATTTACTTTTTTATAACCAGTTTTGGTTTAGGTAAATTAATCTCTACCTACTTACTTGTTATACTTGCAATACTTGTAATACTTGATTTCTTCATCTTTGACCAACGGAAGTTTGATAGATTGAGGTATAGAACAATAGGCCTAATAAAAACTTTAAAATTCACTATAAACATACTCTTTGCTCTTCCTTACGTTACAATGTGCTTACCATTATCTTCCACCAATGGGACTCGCAAGATTTATACTAACTGCGCCTCGCGGTCAGTAAAGATCTAAACAGTAAATTGCAAAAAAATAATTATTAGATTAAACCTAATTATTTATTTGTACATTTCTTAAATTTATTGTTAGTCTTAACTCGTTTCTCATTTCAAATAATAATTTATTTAATTATTTCTTTCAACGTATACACCTAATGACAATAATATACATGGATACATATATTACATTACATAAAGCTGGGTAAGAAACATACTGAACCCAATGATGAGATGACCCAATTCGCCTATGGGTCTGAGGATGATTGCAGTGTCGAATCGAAATCTACCACCACTTACGATCTTTTATGTATATTTACAGTATTGTGAGTAACATTATAAGTGTAAATTTATGTTTTAAGTGTTAGGCTATTAGACACATTTTCTTTTATTTAGTCGGGTTGAACATTGACAGGTTGTCATCTGGTTCCAATGCCTGGGTATTTGGGTTTCCTTGTTGGACCGCGTCAACTATCTGTTCTACATCTGGCCACACTTTTCTCCAAGATTTCGTAAAAGTGGAGGGAGGAATGTTGTCAAAAGCTTCAGCCGCCATATAAATTACATGTTTTAAGTTGATTGACTTTAGGGCCTGAATTAGGCCTGTGTCACCCTCACTGTCCAATTGGCCTAGAATTTCAGAGAGGAGTTTCCTTCGATATCTTCTTTTAAAACACTCGATGACCCCTTGGTCCATTGGTTGGGAAATACTTGTGACGTTTGGTGGCATATACAAAAGTTTAATATCACTTTCGCCTTCGCATTCTAGGCCCTCTTCAGGATGAGTAGGAGCATTGTCAAGTAAAAGAAGCGCCTTAATCGGCAACTTCAAAGATGCTAAATGCTGTTTTACTTTGGGAACGAATTCGGAAACAAACCATTCTTTGAACAAATACGTGTCCATCCAGGCCGATTTCTGTGCCCTATAGTACACTGGTAGACAACTCAAGTTCAAGTTCTTAAATGCTCTAGGTTTAACAGATTTTCCAATCACAAACAAAGGGAGCTTATGTGACCCTGACGCATTTGAACACAATGCAACTGTAATTCTTTCTTTGTTTATTTTAAACCCAGGTGCTGACGATTCTTGTGGTGTGACGAAAGTTTTCTGTGGCAACAGTTTGTAATTTAGTCCCGTTTCGTCAATATTATAAATTTGCTCTGGACTGTAGTTTTCATTGAGGATAATTCTCCTTAGTTTTTCTGAAAATTCATTTGCCGCCGGCTGGTCCGCTGACATTTTTCCACCACACACGCTGATGAAATGTACTCCATGTCGTTTTTTCTACCTTGATAGCCAGCCATCACTTGCTGTGAACGTGTCATTTCCTTCTAGTTTCTTGTGAAGAATCATCGCCTTCTCCTTTAAAATTGGACCGCTTATTGGTGTGCCTCGCCTACGCTCCTGCATGAACCACAGCCACAAAGCATCATCAACTTGTTCTAGTTTAGGCTTTATTAAAGTACAACGGTTAGACAAAACTTTTTCACCTTCGATTTGCGTGCAAAATGTTTCTATTGATTTCCGGTTCCGACGCCAGTCATTAACCGTACTCTTGCCGACCTTAAACTCTCTACAAATACTCTGGACGGATTCGCCCTTATCCAACCGCTCTAGAATTGCCAGTTTCTGTTGCATTGAAACAAAAGTATGTTTCCGTTTTTCAGCCATTTTAGAAAGCATTTTTCTCTAACACACTACACACACTCAACACACTACAGGCACACGAACAACTTTTAACTTTAAACTTTAAACTACAGTACTACGATACGATGTACAGTACTACGATACAGTACAGAACTACGGTAACGATGTTAATTTCAACGACAACGGGCGGAAACTAAACTTTTCACGTTGAATCCTGTCGAAGTTTAACCACTACAGTAGTCACTAGTGGCGCGACGATGTAGCGGATATGACTCACGCTTCTGATAACGGCTGAACCGGCACCCGATCTAACCGAGGCCGAACTAGAGGGAGTTTCACTCACTTCTGAGACTGGCTGAACCATACGGCGGCCGATCTAACCGAGGCCGAACTAGAGGGAGTCTACTGTAATATGAACCCTTGATGACTCCGCTAAATTTTGTGGATGCCTTTGCGAACGCCACCTAGTTTTTACTATAGCTATGTACTATGGATTGGTGCTCGTCTGACTTAGGTTGCATGACGACGCTACGTTTAACCAATAATTAATGTTGCATGACTTGGCCATAACAACAATGAACGGTTTGTTTGGCTAAACATGTAGTTTAGTGGGTAATAAACTAAAGCTGTAACATTTTAGGGGATTTAAGTAATCACTAGTTAACCACCCGTGCTCCGCCACGGGAATATTGTCAGCAATAAAAGAAATAATAATTAACAAATATTGTTTATCTTTTTATTTTATTTAGGGGTTGTTTAATTTTTTAAATGAAATAGAACTTATAGTTTGCCTGTATAAACTATTTTATGTTAATCAAACCGATATATTATTTTAACCAAATGAATGTTTTATATTAATTCGACTTTCATTTGAAAAATAAATAGTATACGAACTGGACAATGCTGATAACCTAATAAGCAGCTATTTATGCTATTTAGATAATTTGCTCAAGTATATTCCTATATTCGTCGTTTTTTCATTACATTTGTTGTATGGAATAGAGATAGTCACTTAGCCTACATGTAAATCACGCATCAGCAGTGGGTCACATTTTACGAATCTTTGACCCATACTGTGAGTAAAAGCTGTGTTTACGTCGTATATATAAAGTTGGGCATACTTTGTTCAATGTTAGAGGGTATTAACGGTCCAATTTGATGGAAAAGGAGTCGTGGATATCAAACTATGTAGACTATACCACTACCAGAAAGATGTTGATTAAAAAAATACTTAGAACTGGCCATTTCAGCCAACACCTATTTGTTTATTTCAATAATTATTGTTTTATTTTGTTAATGTTTATCAGTATTGTTAGTTTTTTAGAGGTTAACTGTAAGAAAGGTCCTAAGTTCGCCTCAATAAAGAAGGATTTTCATTTCATTCATTTCATCCATTTCATCCATTTCATCCATTTCATCCATTTCATTCATTTCATTCATTTCATTTCAAATGCAGATTTGTATTATATTTTACTCAAATAGTTTGTTGTCTCTTTTCACCCTTAATACTTTTTCTATAGTCGCTGTTGATAAGATTTTCCATAAACTCACAATGTTGATAAGGAGTTCATTTTACCTTCCCCTTGTGACAATATGAGGAAAAAATATTTGTGTCCCAGTTAGTCTGTTCTGACTCAAAATTCATAGATTTGCAGTACTGACAAATCCAATCTAACGACCCCAATAAAAAAATTGGTATTTTTTAGAAGGGACTTCCAGAGCACATTTAACTCCATCACTGCTCTTTACCTTTTTAGTTCAATGGTTCTCTACATGTTTTTTTCGTTCTGTATGTCTCTTTACGCCCGGTTAATGATTACCTTTTCTTTTTCTTTTTGTACTTTTCACATCCTGGGGTTAATGATAAAGTTTTACAATAAGTTTCCGTCCCCTACTATGGGTATAATTTCACATTCCATACTTAAACTTAAACTCAATTAACACTTTCCTTCAGATCACTTTGCAGGAAAACTAAAACATTTTTGTGTCCCAGTTAGTCTGTTCTGACTCGAAATTCGTAGATTTGAAGTAGTGACAAATCCAATCTAACGACCCCAATTCAAAAGAGTTGGTATTTTTTGTAGGGACTTTCAGAGCACATTTAACACAAACACTGCTCTTTACCTTTTTAGTTCGATGGTTCTCTAAATTTTTTTTTTTGTTCGGTATGTCTCTTTACGCCCGGTTAATGATTACCTTTTCTTTTTCTTTTTGTACTTTTCACACCCTGGGGTTAATGATAAAGTTTTATAACGCTATAATGACCCGATTCAACATTGCCATTAAACATCAAGTCACATACTTCTTCGCCAGAACCGAATGGTAAGTCACAGTTTTCAAGCAACTTCCCTGTGTACTTGAAAAAAAAATCACTGATATATTGTAGTTCCACGTATCCCAGCGTACTCGCCATCTCGAGAAGGTAAAGTTTGGTACCACTGAACGTCTAACACTGATCTTGAGTAAGATTCGTCACCTACTATAAAATGTTTGTGTTTCCCACTCATTAGCAGTATTAGCTAGTATGTACAACTTGCAAGCGGATTTCCCCATGATTATTCTGTTGGCCGTAGAGAATAAATTATATTGATCAAAACAATAAGTTTCCGTCCCCTAGTATGGGTATTATTTCACATTCCATACTCAAACTTAAACTCAATTACCACTTTCCTTCAGATCACTTTGCAGGAAAACTAAAACATTTCAAAAATAAGTTAACAAATACACTTTCCTTTTATCAAAATCGTGTGTTTATAAACAGAAACTCCAAGTTAAATAATTGCATACTGAAAGTGAGGTTATAAAAATAATAACAAATGTCTGACAAACATTAAACAGCTGACGAATAATTTATAAACTGTGTATTATATTCTTCAATAAGAATTGTATTGACTCGACCTTTAAAGGGCTGTAGGTCGTAGCCCTTAGAAAAAACGTAAATTCTAAGGAAGTTCGGCAAATCTACACACTATCCCCTTTAATTTGAGACATAAATATTGTAGATCGGTCCAGTAATGACTGAGAAAACAGTGTTACAACTGTGTATTAAATATATAGATTTCTTTGATTTAATAATGTATTGTAATTAAATGAAATAAAAAATATATACAAAATTTCTAAAAATATTCTACACTCCTGGTGGGGCAGGCTCATGATTTCGAGGGGTTTGAGCGGGGTGTTCCTGGCGGGGCTTCACATCGGGGTCAGAGGGGTGAAGTTCTGATGCTGAGGAATGATGTAGTGACGAAGAGGGATTTGTTGAGGGGCTTGGGGGAATGGCAGGCTTGTTGAAGTTGATGGTATTGGGTGACGGGAAACTTGATTTAACAAATGTGGATGGTAGACAGGAGAAATTGTATTAGGAGGCGGAATGAGGTATTGGAGTGAGGTTGGGTGGTTGAAATAATTAGGAGGAGGGAATATGCCAGGGTAGGAGTTTTGTGGTAGTACCGGGAGTCGTTGTTATGGTAGGCCTAGTGGGAAAGTTGGTTGAAGAATTTGTTGTTGTGGTGGTGTGGTGGTGGTGTGTATCTGCAATGCTGAAATGCTATGAGAAGGGATGGAAGCATCCCCACGACATAGAAAATGGTGAAAGAAGTAGTAAAGGCTAGCAGTGCGGACTGTGGGGAATGTTTGTGGCAATTAGATTAACGTATCTAAAATACTAAAATGCTATGGAAAGTGATGAAAACAGGTCCATGATGTAAGAAGTGGCTTAGGAAGTAGTAAAGTATGAGCATAGTGTGAGAACCGTCTGTGGCAGTTAGATTAATGTATCTTTAATCCTAAAATGCTATGAGAAGGGAAGGAAACAGGCCCCACGACGTAGGAAGGGGTGAAGGAAATAGTAAAGGCTGGCAGTGCAGAGTGTAGGAACCGTTTGGACAGTTAGATAAATGTATCTAATACTTAAATGCTATGAGAAGGGAAGTAAGCAGGTCTATGACGTAGGAAATGCTGAAGGAAGTAGTAAGGGTTGCAGTGCAGAGTGTGGGAACTGTCTTTTGGAAATTACATTAATGTATCTGCAATCCTAAAATGCTATGGGAAGAGAGGGAAACAGGTCCACGACGTAGGGGGTGGTGAAGGAAGTAGTAAAGGTGAGCAGTGCTGAGTGTGGGAATGGATTAATGTATCTGCAATGCTAAAATACTATGGGAAGAGACTGTAGACTGTAGGTTAAAATGATTACGAATTACGAATCGATACATATTTCGATACATTAAATCGTTTACAATATAAATTTACAACTGAGTTGACAAGGGCTGATATATACTCCATAGAGGCTAAATACGATTTTTACTCCCTAAAGAGTAAAAATGCTACTTTAGACCCGCAACGCTGGTCTAAAGCAAAACAACTGTTATTATTGCAGTATGACAAAAACAATATAATATGAACCCTTGATGACTCCGCTCAATTTTGTGGATGCCTTTGCGAACGCCACCTAGTTTTTACTATAGCTATGTACTATGGATTGGTGCTCGTCTGACGTAGGTTGCATGACGACGCTACATTTAACCAATAATTAATGTTGCATGACTTGGCCATAACAACAATGAACGGTTTGTTTGGCTAAACATGTAGTTTAGTGGGTAATAAACTAAAGCTGTAACATTTTAGGGGATTTAAGTAATCATTTCTTTGATTTGATAATGTATTGTAATTAAATGAAAACAAAAAAATATATACAAAATTTCTAAAAATATTCTACACTCCTGGTGGGGCAGGCTCATGATTTCGAGGGGTTTGAGCGGGGTGTTCCTGGCGGGGCTTCACATCAGGGTCAGAGGGGTGAAGTTCTGATGCTGAGGAATGATGTAGTGACGAAGAGGGATTTGTTGAGGGGCTTGGGGGAATGGCAGGCTTGTTGAAGTTGATGGTATTGGGTGACGGGAAACTTGATTTAACAAATGTGGATGGTAGAAAGGAGAAATTGTATTAGGAGGCGGAATGAGGTATTGGAGTGAGGTTGGGTGGTTGAAATAATTGGGAGGAGGGAATATGCCAGGGTAGGAGTGTTG